CTTTTGGCATCGAGTCAGGGTTTCCTAAATTTTTCCAAAATAAAATATTTAGGTGGCGACTCTGTATCTGGCAAAACAGTCCATGTTTGGCACTTCTTTCAAAATCTGTTTTCTCAAAACAATTTGCCGGATTTGGACTCTTTGGTTCAGATTAAGAACCGTGACAATTTGAGAGTCCTGAGCTTTAGTGAACCCCAAATGAACGGAACGGGAGCTCAACCCTCCCGGGGCGTTCGGGGACGTCTACAGGAAGAGAATGCTTTTCTGGAAGGATAATTGGGCTAGAAATGTATGTTTGAAAGATGTATTCCCAAGACTATATTCTCTATCAGTGGGAAAGGACGAATCTGTTGGCTTGGTGTATAGTAGAAGAACTGGTGCTGGGGAGTGGAATCTGAATTTTAGGAGGTCTCTATTTCAGTGGAATGTGGAGGAGTTGAGGAGAATGTCTACAATGTTACTTAATGCTCCGGTTCTTAGAGAAGGTAGAAGGGATATTTTGAGCTGGAGTGCTGATACCTCAGGGTCATTCTCCATAGCATTAGCTTATAGATGGAGTCAATTGGGTCTTGGAGCTATTAGCAAGACTGCTGCATTCATTTGGAAGAATGTATCTCCCCACAAGGTTCAATTTTTTGGTTGGTTAGCATGGAAATGGAGAGTTAAGTCCTCTAGTTATCTGCATAAAATTGGTGTTCTAAATGCCGGATCTTCTGTTAATTGTACTTTTTGTAATGGGGAGGTGGAAAGTGGTCTCCATATGTTGTTGCTTTGCCCTTTTTCCTGGAGGATTTGGTCTAAGATTATCGAATGGTGGGGTATTCAATGGGCAACACTTAGGTCTGTGAGCAGCTTACTCAATTGGTGGCGTGGTTGGAAAGTATCAAAGCAGCTGAAGTTAATCTGGAATGTTGTTCCTCTGGCAGTGCTCTGGTCCATTTGGAAGCAGAGGAATGACTGTCTTTTTAATAGTGCTCAGGCTGATGTTAAAAGTTTGTGTGATTCCGTTAAGGTGAGGATTGCATTTTGGACCAAATCTTCTTGCCCAGCTGTAGTTTACTCAGTCAATGACATTGTGCATCATCTTCAACAGGTTATAGTCTGCCTTGGCTAAGGTTACTGTCTAGCTAATTTATGTGGTATTGTGGATCTAGAGCCTGGGCTGGCTTGTCCTGTGTTGCACTGATGTTTTGTTCTGGTCTGTTCTGTTTTCTGTCTGATACGTCCGTGTTGTATGATCTGTGTTATTGTGGTCTGGTGTGAGATCCGTGTTATTGTGGTCTGTTCTGGGCTGGTTTACAAGGCAACAGTTTAGGTGCTGGTTTGTAAGGTAGAAGACTACTATTATGGTCAAGGCTACTGTTTCTGCTGGAATACAAGGCACCAGTTTGAGTGTGCATTAGCATTAGGCTGCAGAGTTCTAAGTTTTAGGTGCTACTAGTCTGCTAGTAGCAGGTTTGCTGTGGTTTAGTTCTGAGCTGGTTTTCAAGGCACCAGTTCAGGTGCTGGTTTGTAAGGTAGAAGACTGCTGTTGTGGATAAGGCTGCTGTTTCTACTGGAACACAAGGCTCCAGTTAGAGTTTCTGTTGGTCCAAGGCACCAGTTCTGTTTTCCCAATTGAGTATTGTTTTCAGAGCTGCTACTGTTTTCCTAACCTGAGTAGTTCTTTGCTTTAGGTTAGACATTGTTTGAGGTGAAGGGTGCATAAGTCTGGTATTGCTATGGCCTTTTGCTACTGTGTGTATACTGGTGCTGAGTAGTGTACTACTGTTTCTGCTACTAATTGAGTGTTGTTTTCAGAGCTGCTATTGCTTTGGGGTGATAGATTGCTGTAGTGCTATTTAGCTGCTGCCTGCTCTATTGGTCTTTCGTAGTGGTTGGTCTGCTCAGCTTTGTTGGTCTGCCCAGCTCTGTTTAGTGGTTGTGCTGATGTCTGAGTCTAATATTAGTTTTGCTTGCTATCAGCATCCAGTGGCTGCTCTGTTGCTCAGATTATGTATTCTGCTGTTTGCTGCTGCATTGGTGGAAAGCTTTACTCAGTTGTTAGGCAGTAGTCTGTTGGTTTTTGTTGGTCTTTGGTTTGTTTTGTTTTCTCGTTGGTTTCTCACCAACTGGGGGTGCTAGCAAATGATAGGATGTGCTTTTTGGTGCCAACCTAGTTGAGATGATTTAGCTTATTATGATGCTTTGCACTTCCCTTTTCTTTATTGATGTATTTTATTTTGTATTGTGTACTTGATTCTTACATCAATAAAGCTTTTCTTTGCCGATCAAAAAAAAAAAAAAAAATTTAAGATATGGTCTGATGTATCACCAATACACTGGTGTCGTTTCATATATTATATCAATGCATTAGAAAATAGAACAAATTTGATGTGCTTCAGCAATGATGCAGCTTGGTCCTAGGCTATTGTCCATGTATTGTTTGTTTTTTTGATCAGCAAAGAAAAATTTCATTAACGGCATGAAATTAAGAAAGTCCTTGCATAATTTCCCGAAAGCCTCAAGCCAAGGTAACTCCACCAACTAAATTAAAGGGCAAAATACAAAATAAAAATACAAACCACGGGCAAAAATAGAAAATAATAATACAAGCCTTTCAAGCAACTCCTTCAAAATTGACCCAAAATCCTTATATAATTTCTAAAAACCCTCCACTAAGGTCATTCCATCAACTAAACTAAAGGGCAAAATAAAAAATGAAAATACAAATCAAGAGTAAAAAAGAAAAAAAAAAAAAAAAACTGTTTTGGCTATTAGTGAGCCTATTAGTGAAGCACCACTTATATATAGACTATGTATAAAACGCTTGTGTAAGGCACGTGCTACTATTGTGGTGAATTTAAATTTCAAAAAATACAAATATTCTATAATATAGACCCCATTTTGGGATGTGTATTATATATCATAATTATGATGTTTGTGGTCATTTTGGGATGTGTATCATATGTCCCAATTATAATTTTTGCGATTTTTTTGTTATAACCTATTATGTTAGCTATGATTTGGTTATGTATCATTGTGATATTAGTTAGAACTTATTGTAATTATTATTTTATTTTTTTTTATCAGTAAACAAAAACTTTATTGATGAACACGCAAAAATCATGCAAAATATATCAACAAAGCAGCAGAGCGCAAACAGTATCATAGCTAATCTTAACAATCCCAACTAGGTTGGCATCGCAAATGAAGCATAATCATATGCTAGTACTAGACCCAAGATTGGTGAGAAGCCAATCAAAACACCCAAAGAAGAAACAGAACAAAAAACAGCATACAATCATCAAAATACTCCTACAGCAACAGTAAGGCCTGAGCAAACATCAACAACAGAGCAATGAGACTAGTGCAGAACCCTGCTGCCATAAACAACAGAACCCTGCTGCCATGAGCTCCAATTAGAACAACAGCCTTTTCAACCCCAGCAAACAATCTTCTATTCAGCCATTTCCAAGCATCAAACACCAACCATTCAGCCAGAAACACCTAAGCATAACTTCTGTTCCAGGACACCAGACTTGCTTCATAACAGTCAACCTCTATTACTGATACAACACATCATATACTGCTACTGGACTCCAAAACCTGGACCTCAAGAATAACCAATCTCCAACTATCCCAAGTAGAATCCCCAATTAACCGAGACACCTTCTCACTTGTTGAAGATTGTATAGAATATCAAAAATAGAGTAATCAAATTCAGAACCACATTGCAACCCTAACTTTAATGACCTCACACAGCTCCACCAGATCTGGTTATAATAAAAAAATCTTTAGATAAACGTTATGTGTTGTTTAGTTATGATGCGTTGTTGTTGTTGTTGTTTTTTTTTTCTTCTTAAGGTTTTTTTTTTTTTTTTTTTTTTTTGGAAAGGGAAATTCTATGTACCATATACACATTTGGTTCCAACCTTTGTAGTATTTGGTCATGACATGTTATGGTGTTAGTTATGATTCATTATGATATTTGTTATGATCTACGAACTCATTGGTTATAACTTAAGTGGTGTTTGATTATAACTTCTTTTTTTTTTGAATTTTTTTTTAAATTTATTTTAATTCTCTTAATTTTGAATTATGACATTTATGATAATCAAACCTAATAAATATCATAATTTGTAGTACACACTATTTTAAGAGTGTATTATATCATTATCTTTTTTGAAAAATTTGATACTTTTTCTACAACTATTAATATAATAATTTCTATATAAATTTTATTAATATTCATTGGAGGTAGATATACTGCAAAATAAATAAATAAATGCAACATTATTTATATTAAATAAATACGCACATTAGATAGATAGGTCTGGTGGGGCAGCCTTATTTTTGTCTGTATGTTAAATAGTAAGGTGCTGGGTCCAACTATCTCACGTGGATAAATTTCAAGACAGACCTTATAAACAATAACAAATTAATAGAGAAGAGATCCATGGGCAGTTGTGGAAGTAAGAGGCTAAAATGCAGGCCAGCATCAGTAAATTACACAAAACAAAAGGACAAAATCGAGAAAAGAAAAAGCAAGCGTAAGCACTGCTTATTATATATATTTTATCTAAGGAACTTTTCATGTAGTATTCCATCGACATGAACAAGTCACCTTACAATTGAAGCTACCTCGTCAAACCAAATAACATGCTTATTTCTTAATACGGGCGTTTGGGAAGTTGATTATTTTAATACGTTATTTTAATTTTTAATTATTTTAATAGGTTAAAATATTTGTATTTGAGAAGATAATTAGATTTTTTTATAGTTGGATGTGATGTTTGTGAGAGAAAAAGTAAAATGATTATAGATTTGATGTGACATTTTATTTTATTATAGTAACTTATTTTTTCTTTTTATAAATTTTAACCCAGAAAACAAAAGAAAATATTTGCCAAACAAGGCCTATATGTTGTATTATGAAATGGGAAATCCTAATCCTATGATTTGTTTATTTGTTTATATATATAATAGTACGAGCACGGAAAATATCTGGCATGCGTATACCTCTTTGTGATCAAGTTTAAATCTCCTCCAATAACGTCGTATAGCCTGCAAAACATCAACCACAAAATATGTAATCATGTCATAAATTGACGTAACAAAATGTTCAAAATTTTGTGGTTGATTCAAAAATTTGTGGTTTAGTTATGACATTTTTTATCATACCAATTTGTGATGAGATTACGTGTTTTGTAATTGATATTACGAAATTTTAAAATAAAATTACACATTTTGTGATAAGATGATGCATAACATTTCCCTATAGTTATAACCCATATATCATCCGCTGACACCACAAACACATGGCAAAATATTGACAATTTCGTAAAGAAATGGCAGCATTTACCATTTCAACATGCTGTTGTCTGTTTATTATAAAGAATGAATAATGAAGGATATAGACTCATTCTGGTGCTTATTAATTGGTGTCTGGAGGGCTATTATGTTGGCTTTAAAGTCTCTATCTCCATCTTCCAAAAACATCTATAAAAGCAGCTCTTAGTGGTTACTTGTTTCCCATCTCATCAAATCTTTCAAACTCTCAAAAGAAGAAGATTGCTTCATTCTCAACAAGAATATTTTTAGTGTGCAAAATGGCATCACAATTTGTTTTGTTATTAGGATTATTGGCTATAACTTGTTCAGTTGCTTCTGCATTTGATAATAGTCCTCTTCAAGATTTCTGTGTCGCAGACAATAGTAGTTCAGGTTTTATACTCTTCATATGCACTTTCCAGTTTATTTGGTTCTATTTCATTTATATTTTGTTTTTTATTTTTATTTTTTGAAAAATTTAGAAAATTATTTGACGAACTGTTTTTGAATTATTTATTTATTTATTTTTGAAAATAATTCACTGTTTAGGAAACACCAAAGTTTATTTTTAATTTTTTAAAACAATTTTTGTATAAAAATAAAATGATGAGCACTTTCAAACCTTTTATTGTTATATATCTAAAAACATGAAAAAGAAGATTTTGTTTGTTAAAAAAAAAATACCAAACCAATTTACTTGTATAAACATCCTATAATAATTTACTGATTGAGTTGTATGGGCCTTGAATCTTTTATTTTTGTGGCTGCAGTGCTAGTGAATGGTTTGGTGTGCAAGGATCC